CAGCCCCTCTTCCCATCCTCCCTAAGAAAACAAACAGCAGGTTCCTTTAGCATAGTTTTTTTTAGGCAATGACTTTTCTCCAAGAGATTTACTGCAGCAGCCTTACAAGAGATTTGTAGCAGGCAGTCCTCCATCTGCAGTCTTACATCCTCAGTGTGAGAGCCATAATTCTCCTGGAGTGAAATGACAGGAGATCATAATGGCTAATCATGTATTATGATGATATTGTCTCTACAGGAAGGATTGCACTTGGCTTTGTGTGTCTCCTTTGGGCAACACAAAACTTTCTTACAAAGCTGAAACAGATTACATTTTTCTGGTTGCTACCGTGACATCACTTGGACATCCCACCCCCACATATGCAATGGCACTGTCCCAGCTATTTTAAAGAATATTTTCTGAAGAGTGGATTTCTTGGAGTTTTGGATACTGGATATGGAACATTTCAGCTGCAAATTGCTAGCATGATTCTGGCTTAGGCTAATAATGATGTAAATGTGTGACAGGTGTTTCACTTGCATGAAATGATCTATTCATACAGTTCTTCACGCACAGGTGTCCAACATCAGAATGAAGTCCAACAGGCATTAAATAGTGCAAAGCAACATGTTTTAATATTGAAAAGATATCTATTTCACTTTCACTATGGCATGAATGGACTACTGTAGGCACAAAGCATATGCTTAGAATGCCATTTTGCCAACACACGAAAATATTATTCTTCTAATGAATTTTGAACATTTTTGATAGCCACCAATGGACAGGACCTCCACTGTACACTTCTGTCCCCTCACCAAGAAGTTACATCTCTAAGAGCACAATGGACCAAAATTTTGATTCAGAACTAGGGAAGGAAGATTTCACTCTCCTGATTCATTCAAAAAGCTTTCTGCTGCTGTTTCCTTGGAGTATCCAGTTCTTAAATTGAAACAGACCTAACGGGACCAATTTATGGGGCTGCAGCACAAAGCAGAATCACAGCAGGTTTTCTGACTTTCCCAGTAAGTTCACTGAATTGACCTGTTCCTCTGTGTTCAGACAGGCAGTAAGAAGAAAATCTTACGCTGTAACTTGTGAGAGGTCAGACTTACTGAGCAATATGCAACTTTACTTAGTCAGAGATGAAAAAGTCTGCAAGAATCCTGCCATTCTAACTGCAAAGCAGGATCACTCAGAAGCTTTTGCCATGACTGACTAAAATTCATAACTGACTAGATCTTCAGTGTACAAGCTGGAGTTTGTAAGACAGAGCTTCAGTTCTCTGTTTTGTGACAGGTGTCCTGTGTGACTTGACACAAGCATCCACACTGTAGCTCCCCAGTAGTAAAAAAGTGCAATGGCATGGTTGAACTTTTCAGGAAGACGATCAGTTTCAGGTGGGTTCTGAGATATATGAGATAATGGGGCCACAGGACTCTGAGCGGGTTAGTGAGTGGGCTTTATCCCCACATTGCTCATACGGATGGGCTGACATCCTATTTGCCATGTATTTGCTGGAATGCCTTCTCATGTTTTACTTTTGTTAGTATTCTGCTGAAATCAGCAGAATCACTCTTAATCCTGCACTGATGCACGTGTATGAAAGATAACACTTAGTTTGTTCCCTGGGCACATTATGGAGGGAATATGTGTGATTCTGTATTTAAATAGATTAAAAACAAAAAAACCAAAACAGGAATAATGAGGCTAAGCACACAGGATAGGATTTTGAAAAATCCAGAGTGGTTACCAAGCATTCGTAGGTACAGATTTACTGGTAGGTGGAAGAAGTCAGCAGAATGATAATAAGCTGAGTTTCTCTATTAGGAGATGGAGGCGAACACATGGACTGTTAACAACGCCTTGCTGGTGCAATCCTCAGTATTTAGTCTGCATGATGCAACTCTTCCCTTTCATTAGCAGCAAGGCCAGGTTTGGACCACCTCCTGATGGAGAAGTTAGCCCAGTTCTGAGCCTGTTTGAAAACTCCATCCCAAAACTCATACTTAAGAACATATCCAACTGGTCTGAATTTTATCTACTGCTATTTTAAAGGTATTTCCCTTATTAATATGGAACAAAAGCTATATTTGTACCTTGGAAAATCCTTAGGTGTTTAAATATGGGTGCCTAAGGTCAGGGTCCTACACCTGGTGAGAAAAGATAAATGTTATCACACAATTCACGCTTTCTGGATTGTTTCCTTGCCTTTTTTTTTGTCCTCCCCACACTTCCAAGAGTGGAAGCAGTCTGGATACAACCTACAATTTACTCAAGTACTAAAGGCATTTTTGTCTTTTTAGGGCCTTCTCTCTGTTGCTGTCTCCCTTTCCCAGTATCAGATGGTACTTCAAAAACTAACCTGTCATTTTGAGTCTAGCAATGAAATGAAAATATAGATACAGCTCATCCTTCTTGGCTGAGGGGAGGAGGGCAGACTCAAATCTGTTATTAAAAAAAAAAAGCTAGATTCTTATTAACACTAAATCTGGGCAGTCAGGTTTGCACTTTAGCAGCTTGTGATGTAACCATGCCTTAGAGCAGATTACAATCAGCTTCAGAAAGGAATCCATAAAGCACAATTAAAAAATGCATTTAGGCATATGCTTAAAGTTCAACTTCTGTATTACTGAATTAAGATTCAGTAATTCCCATTTCAAACTCTTACAGTTTCTTCACAAAATACGATCTGAAAAAATATAAAAGCAAGTACAATCATGAATAAGCAAGAACCTTTTAACTTTTCCTCTTCTTTGTGTGACTGGCCAAACAAAGCACAGTTAAATTAATGAAAGCCAGACATCTATCGCTGCTGCTATTACCGCATCCCTGTGAAAAACGCAACTAATTTCCTTGGGCCAGAAGCAGAGATAAAAGCAATTACTCTGGTGATTATTTCTAATGCTCAAATTTGTCCAAATACTTTCTACAGTTGTCACATACTTCAACTAAACCCCAGTTGCCTACGCTACAGCTGGTATGTCTTTACAAGCTTCTCCATAAGGGTTCCCCCAGTCAACGAAGGACTGGCATTTTTTAATCACTATAAAGCTACCATTCCCCCTACGCAAATGCACAAAGCTTTTGATTATTGGCTTGAATGTCTTTTTTTTTTTTTTTAATAATAGTCCACAAATCTGGGGGGCAGAGACTGTGTTTTAATCTGTCACTATCTTCTGATAATCGTACTGAACATGTTTAGTCTACATGCAAAAAGTAGGAGGCAGTATTTAATTACCATGACAACACTTTGAGGTCCTAAATGAAACTACTGAAATGAAAGTCCTAAATGAAAGGAGTATTTAAAAAAATTTAATTCGGTCTATTTAACAGACTGACTAATCACATCTATGGCACAGACATCATGCTGTTGTTACCCAAGCAAACAAGACAGAAAAACATTGGGACAAAAGTCAGTTTTATAAATGGCAAAACTGAGGAACAGAGAAACTGAAGTGACATGTCCGAAGTTACACAAGAATTGACTACGGATTTCTTGTTATCTATTCCTGTGTCAATCACAAAAGAAACATGTCTCCTAAAGAGTGTTCCTGCAGAACAGTTCTTTGATGGTCACTCCTTTGAATACAACAGAAATATTTGGATAGAACGAGGTGGAACAAGGAGAAGTAACAGCAATGCATATGTAAGTGGTAAAAAGGTATTTTAACCACGTTAGAAAATATGAAAATTGTGAGAAGTGATGTTACTTGCCATTAAACTGAGAAGAGCTAAAAAAAAAAGTGTGATTCACAATTCACCCCCACACCAGTTTTTGTTCTATTTTGGAAGCCGAATGAGACTCCTTCTCTAGTCACAAGGCCCCTTTTGCCTCATCCTGCCTGTCAATTGTGATGTTATTTTGAATCATGGATATTCTATCATAGTGACAGAATTAAACCCACTACAGAGTTAAGATTCAACACAAAAATTTATTTTAACTTAGAGTATCACTTAACAGGTCTAGGCCACATTCAAACACAACTGCTGGGCCAGTAAACTCACCTTAAGAGGGACTGCCAGTTTCCAGAGAGAACTCTCTTTCATTCTGAGAAAAGCTGTCACCCCCTTTGTTGCCATTAACAACTACAAGATGCAGCCATGTAGTGACTTCAGTGGTTCGGAAACTCTGAGGCATTTGTTGCTACCTGCATGGCTTAGGAACGTGGCTCAGCCTACAGTTCCAAGCCTGAACTTGTATCGCTCAACTACGCAGCAAGCACCATCCTGATGTAGTTCATGAAACCACTTTTTTGCAGTTACTGAGGCATACACCTCAAAACAATGACATCTGCATTTTTGTCTGTGGGAAGGCTACAAAGCTTGCCAAAACCAGCTGCAAAAATATGGCAATCAGCTGTGAATCCTGGGGACAGATTCACATCTTTTGCAATCACTCAAGGCTACCATTTCAGTTGACTGGGTACTCTGCACATTGCACCAATGATAAGACCTAGTCTGAAGAATGGGATAAACCACACTAAAGGCAGTATAAGACACAGGCCTGCTGAGCTGTGCATTTCTCAAGCATCTCCCACCTGTAAGCAGAGGCACCTCAAGTCCCCTCTTGCACCTGCAAGTACGCACACCCTGTAGGGCCACACAAGCAGCTCTCTCCTCCTCTTCGGAGAGTATCAGCCACTTGGAAACAACCCTGACCAGAGCACGGCTTCCCCACACAGCTATCCCCCACGCTGTCCCCGCGCTGGGAAGCGCCCCCTCCTCCGGCGGGTCGAGAGGACAAAGAGGGAGGATCATCTGACCGTGTCCGGCTCCGGAAAGGCGGCAGCCAGGGTCCCAGAGCAGGACAGGGCCGGGCCGGGCCTGCCGCCAGCCGCCTGACCCCAGCCCAGCCGTCGCCTTGGACACGGGGCAAAAACGATCGCGCCGCCGGAAGCGAGCCGCGGCGCACGGGGCGGGGCGGGGTGGAAGCGGGGGCGGTGCCACCCGGCCGGGC